ATATTTCTGATAATTAAATAATTAAATACTTTGTTTTTCCATATAAATCCTACAGACTTGTATTTTAATTTATTCTCTGTGGAAGTATCTAATTTATTCTAATATATTTATCATGATAATTGTATATTTCTGATAATTAAATAATTAAATAATTTGTTTTCCCATATAAATCTTGCAGACTTGTATTTTAATTTATTCTCCGTGAAAGTATCTATTTTTCTAATACATCCTTTATACTTCTAATATATTTATCATGATAATCGTATATTTCTGATAATTAAATAATTAAATAATTTACATCTTTCACTTCGTTCCGGGTTCTTGATGAATCAACGACGTTTCATTTCCGAAGTAGCTCGACCTTGTCTTCCTTATCACGTTAAAAAATCTCCCTTCTTTTTCGCGAATATTCCTAGGCACTGAACGACACGAATAAATTCACTATGATCTTCGAGATGGACAACGAAACTCAGGAAGCTAAAGTCTATAGACCTAGCGGAAGCGATCTATCGAATCCCTTGGGCCAGATCGCAAGATATGTCGCTGCCACTGGTCAAATACTGAATATTGGAGATGTGACCACGTGGCTGAAGAAGGATGTCGTTCAGGCCGGAAGTGGGCCCATCAAAAGCATCCTCTGTATGCCGATAGTTAATGGACAGAGGACCGTGATCGGCGTTGCTCAGTTAATCAATAAGGTTGTTCTCTCCATTCTTCTTTTTTTTTTTTCTTTTCACACTAAATACCACACAACATTCTCTGCCTCTTATTAGAGTAGAAAATATTCAATTATGTCTGCGATGATAATCCCAAATGATAATGATAATTCAAAAATACAGAATGAAAATCTTCTCTATTTATAAATTCGAGTATGTTCACTTTAGATATTCTTCACTTTTCGCGATGAAGTATTTAATAATTAACTCGGAGTGAGATTCTTCAATGTTCGAAACTTTCTTTTGTTCTTCTTCTATTGAGGAAACTGACTACTGACTCTAGATATTCATATTCATGTTCTACTCTATTTGAATTATCCTCTAGTTTCTACTGTAAAATAATCAATCCAACATGAAGATTCTATACACGTACATATGTTCACTCTGATTATTCCTCGTTTCTTCATAGTGACGCGTTTAATTAATAAAAAGAAGCACTTTCGGATATCCAGAAACTCACAAAGTGCGAAATAAAAAATTATTCACCGATGATTAGTCTCCGTTTCTTTCAACGAAGCAATCCAGTTAAAAATGACAATTTCCAAACACCCGGCAATTTAATATTTAAAACCAATCTTCTACCAATTACAATGCCAAATATTAATGGAGTCTTGCAAATAATTGCGATTATTATCTGGCCGATAAGATCAAGTACACGTCACGGAAAAAATTCAACAACTAACCAAGAGAAACCATTCGACAGGACAACGGAACGTCGTTCACGGACTCGGACGTGTCGATCTTCGAGGCGTTCGCGATTTTCTGCGGCCTTGGGATCCACAATACCCAAATGTACGAGTCAGCTTGCAAGCTAATGGCCAAGCAGAAGGTGGCCCTCGAGTGCCTGAGCTACCACGCGACAGCCAGCAACGACGACACGCTGAGATTGACCACTGAACCGATACCGTCCGCGGAATCCTACAATCTGTACAGTTTCACCTTCATCGACTTCGATCTGACCGACGAGGACACATGCCGAGCGACTATACGAATGTTCAAACAATGCGACCTGATACAAAAGTTTCACATCCCGTACGAGGTGTTCTGCAGGTGGATCCTCAGCGTGAAGAAAAACTACAGGTGACGAACGTTTTCATTGTTAAATTAATCGAAGGGCCATTGCAGTACACTGATATCTCGTCTAGTTAATTAATAATGGTCAGATCATTTCACAAGCAATGGTGCTCTGTTTATATTAAGGTGACGATGATTTTGTAAATTTTATAGAAAGAGAGAAAAACAACAGTTTCTATTGTAATATCTCTGTAATAGCTCTGAGAAAACGAGCATTTATATTATATATATATATATAAAATATCTTCAAGTCTAAACAAAATATAAAACGTTTGTTATATATAAATTACAGTTATATATAGTTTTATATATATATATAGTTTTATATATAACTGTAAATATATTTATATATAACAAACGTTTTATATTTTGTTTAGACTTGAGATATTTTCTAATATTTTAAGAGTATAAATATTGGCAAATAATTATATTATATATATATATATATATAACTGTAAATATATTTACAGTTTTATATATATAACTGTAAATATATTTACAGTTTTATATATATAACTGTAAATATATTTATATATAACAAACGTTTTATATTTTGTTTAGACTTGAGATATTTTCTAATATTTTAAGAGTATAAATATTGGCAAATAATTAATACAAACAGAGAAACTTTTAACTTTTAAAAAAGTTGCTTGAAACTTTTAAAATACCAAAAACTGTATCATGCTAAAGTAATCACACATAAGTACTCATTACATGACACAGTAAATTAAATTATATATATAATATACATATATAAGAAAAAATACAAATAATACATATAATATTATACATATATAAAAAAAAATTCAAATACCTAAATACCTAAATACCTAATACCTAAATATTGTTAGAATCGTTAAAAAAATACAAATAATACGTATATTATACTATTATACATATATAAAAAAAAATACAAATACCTAAATACCTAATACCTAAATATTGTTAGAATCAATGCGTATAGAACCGTTTATTACAAAATATACAAAGTGAGCAGTAAATGTACAGGTGTACCAATGAAATTTCATTTCTCTTTATCTTCTAATTTGCAAAACATCCGCCGAGCGAATAATCAAATTTAATTCAAACAAAAGCGAATGAGCCAACCTTTGGAACCTTGCTGTAGCATGGGAACCTCATCCTGACTGATTTTCAGGCCGGTCAAGTACCATAATTGGAGGCACGCGTTGAACGTCGCCCAGACAATGTTCGCCATGTTGAAAACCGGCAAGATGGAGCAGTTTATGACCGACCTTGAAATTCTTGGACTATTGGTCGCCTGTTTGTGTCACGACCTAGACCATCGTGGGACGAACAACGCGTTTCAAATGAAGACTGAGTCGCCACTGGCTATCCTCTACTCGACGAGCACCATGGAACATCATCATTTCGACCAGTGTGTCATGATACTGAATTCGGACAGCAACAACATCTTCCAGAATCTGTCGATGGAGGACTATAGGAAGGTGATGAAGGTGGTGGAAAGTGCGATACTCTCTACCGATCTGGCGGTTTATTTTAAGAAGAAGAACAAATTCATGGAATTGATCGACGAGGGAGAGTTCGACTGGCAGAGCGAGGAGAAGAAAGAACGTAAGATTAATTATCAATGATTACCCTATGACCTTTGCATCTCTTCTTCCCTCTTCATATATGCATGCCTTATGATATACGAAACACAGGCCTGAAGAATGATTTCAATATGACCCTGATATATTGATGAAATGTCGCAACATGAGCAATTGAATGCTCTGTCTGATGATGAATTACGTTGTTTTTTTATAACAGAACAAAATCTGATGTAACTGACTGGTATAATGCTACTAATTTCGACATTTCTATATCCATGCTATGAAAGAAAATTTATTAGTTTGCCTTTATAATTATCATTACTTGTCTGTATACTCATGATAAAACTTTAGACTTGCCTAGATGGTTCACAATGACGACGCCAAATTTGATATGTATATTGTTATAGAATTATTATGTATAAAATCAAATTTAATTACTATATACAACTAATCAAATTTAGTTGTTGTTATACTATATATATATTCATGTGGAAATTCAATGATTATTTTCCTATAATCGTAATCAAACCAAATCTATTTCTTTACATCACAGAATGATGAATTACTTTGTTTTTTTATAACAGAAAATTTAATGTAACTGACTGGTAGTATGTGCCTATAATGTTACCAATTTCGACATTTCTATATCTGTGCTATGAAAGAAAATTTATTACACAATTATTAGTTTGCCTTTATAATTATCATTACTTGTCTGTATACTCACAATAAAACTTTAAACTTGCCTAGATGGTCCACAATGACGCCAAATTTAATATGTATATTGTTATAGAATTATTATGTATAAAATCAAATTTAATTACTGTATACAACTAATCAAATTTAGTTGTTGTTATACTATATATATATTCATGTGGAAATTCAATGATTATTTTCCTATAATCATAATGAAACCAAATCTATTTCTTTGCATCATAGAAAAGTTAACTCTAGAAGCCGTACGTTGCTCTAAATTCAACACCTCATTCCCTAGTAAAATAAAAATCGGGAAGCCGTACAGAAACTCAATCTATACCTTTCCATTACCTTACGTGCACAGTGAAATGAAATCTCGAAGCCTTACACATCCATAGTGCGTCAAATTCAGCGTCTATTTCTCTCTATCCATCAACTAACTGGATGTACAGGAACCGTGTACATTATCTCATAACTATAACAATCCCAAACACCGTCACTAACAACCATGTCAAAACAAACATTATTCATACGCGTATACGCTTCAAACGTCGCGCAAAGTCAAAAGGTCCCAGTTACACAATTACCTCAAATACCTCGCATCATTTCATTTCCAGTGCTATGCGGAATGATGATGACGGCGTGCGACGTGAGCGCGATAGCGAAGCCATGGGAGGTGCAACACCGCGTAGCCAAGCTGGTCGCCGACGAGTTCTTCGACCAGGGCGACCTGGAACGTCTCCAGTTAAACCAACAGCCGGTGGCGATGATGGACCGTGAGAGGAAGGACGAGCTACCCCAAATGCAGGTCGGTTTCATCGACGTTATCTGCCTGCCTCTGTACAAGGTGCTCTCGGACACGTTCCCATGGATCATGCCTCTCTACGAAGGCACCATGGAGAACAAGAAACACTGGCAAGACCTGGCCGAGAAGGTCGAGATGGGCCTGACCTGGATCGATCGCGACACGATCGACGAGCCGGTCGAGGAGTTCGTCTCGTACGAGCCCAAGGACATCGAGTTCACTGTCACAACGTTGAACTGCGCCCACGTGGACAGAAAGGAGGCTGCTGAGAAATCGGCGTTGGGCAGGTTCGCCTCGCTGAGGAAAGGAGGCCGCACGCTGACCAAAGGTGTCAGACACCGAATCAGCAGGTCGCTGTACGCTAGGAGCACGCCGGAGGACGCCGCCAAGTCCAAGGCGTTGATCCCTGACAGAAAGAGCCGGAACAAGTTGTGCTTGCTCATTTGACGGTTCACGTCCACCACGCTTGAGAGCATACCGGAATGATGAACGAGAAACGGGGAACGTGTTTGCCAACAGCAATGACAATTTTGTTCGAAGACTGGCTCCGGTGGATCTTGACAGTCTAACCGGATGGCTTCACTTCGGCTAGGTTGAAAACTAGTCACGTCTGCGAGGAGGATTACTACCTTGGCGTTGCCGGTGTGGTAATCGAGATTGTTAATAGAGAATCTACGGGAGGATCGTAGAGTGTACAATTCGTCGAGAGAGCGGAGAGAACCAAGGTTCTGAAAGAAAACAGAAAGACTTTTGGAAAATCATTGGCGAAACGAAACGGAAGTTTCGCAGCTAGTGATTGCATCTGTGATTGCTCTCTCCGTCTGCCTCGAAAAATCAAAACCTTACCCCAGAGTAAACATGGAATTGAAACTTCCTTGGGCTGAAATAGGAAATATTTCAGGATCATCGAGAAAGAGAGAGAGAGAGAGAGAGAGAGAGAGAGAGAGAGAGAGAGAGAGATAGAGTCGAAGTTGAAGGCGGAACGCGCTTGCAGATTTCGTTCCAAGACTGTTCCGAGTCTTTAGGCGAGAAAATTTAGACGAATAGTCAATGTCTAGGTAGTTAGACCGACCGGCGGCAGTGTCAGACGACCTTCATCGATTTCGAGTTAGAGAGAAATAAGAAAAAAAAAAAAAGGAACGCGATGGTGGTCGACGATGGTGCGGATTCAATTTTGACAATCTTTTTTGTATTACATCTCGATACCTAGGATAATCCGGAGATAGAACGAGAAGAAACGAAGACGAAAAGAAGTCATCACGGACAACGCGATTTAATAAATTGGATAGGCGGCGCTGGGCATTTTTATATACTAATGGAGAGGCGAGGGAAAAAACTAGAGGCACGCTCGTGAAAACGTAACCGCGAACGATAGGCATTTTTATATCCCAGAGAGAGAGAAGGGGCGGGGGGAAAAAAAATAATAATAAATGGGACAGAAAATTGGTTGGACTCCCGATGACACGTTGCATTTCGATTCCATGCGTTTCTAAGATAGTACTTGAAAACCTTGAAGAAATACTTGAAACCAGTCGGCGACACGATACGAGGCGAATCGACGCCTACGAATATTAACCATTCCACCTTCTTCTGTCATTCAACCATTCCAAAAATCGCGTCACTGACGCAGGAGAAAATAAACACGCGATCTCGCATTCGAGGATGTGACTCGTAACTTTTGTTCTTCTATTTTTGTTTTTTTTTTTTTTTGTTTTTTTCTCTTTCTTCTTCCTTCAGGCATCCATCTGTTTTCCCAACGTTGATCCATGTATTTTCTCTCGTTTCTTGCCTCTTGTTTCAACGATCGTTGTCCGCAGAACAGCAGGAGAAACTCAAAGAAAAATTCGACGAATCTTCTGTTCCATCGGACGATCGATAGCTGTTAATTATTCACGATCATGCGATGTTTTCTGTCGCAGATGACGTTACGTGAAACAGGTATTCCCTTGGTGGAAACCAAGAGGATACAAGCCAATCTGTGCTAACAGTAAGTACAGTAAGAATCAATCAATTAATCGCGAATAGTTCGAGCGTGGTGTTTTTAAAACAAGAAAAAAAAACGAAAAAAATGCAAATAATACGTGAATTCGGCGGCAAGCGAGCGGAGACTGGTTTCTAGTCTTTTGATCACCGTGTACGAAACATGCCTGTCAGAGACTATCGCACACGATTAAATAAAATCTGAATGTGCTCAAAGTTTGGCTTCACGCTTCCCTTCCTCCACGTCGTCGTCCTTTTTTCTCCTTCTTTTCTCTAGAAATAAGTTCATTTGAAATTAAAAAAAAAAAAAAAAACAAAACACTCTCGACAAGTATTAAGAGGAAAAAAAGAAAGAAACAAAGTAAAAACTGGTTGGAATACTATGAGAACGTGTAATGGAGTATGTTTGATTTGTTAGGGAAACTGCGGCGATGCCGGACTATCGATATTCAAAGGACATCCTTTTTAATTAATGAAAATTTCACAATTTCTTAATACCAATGACTTATAATGAAATTTTCATCCTGTGGTGATTGACGGTGGACCATCGATGATTCGCAACGATTAACTACAAATGATTACAACGTGTCATTCATTTTCAATCATGACACAGAAAGAAGAAATTCCCCTTCTTCGGTGATTATTGCAGATCATCCATAGTCTAAGAGTAAGAGTTTTCATTTTCAATGGCTTATCTATGGAAAAAAAAAATGTGTAGATACACCGATGATCCATGACAACACACACACACACACACACAAAAGATCATTACATCAAGATCATTTCTGTTTCGACTTTCGAAGAGTAGTCCCCTCAGCCCTGTGACTTTTATGCAGCTTTTTATTATGAAAACATTTAGAAATTACACTCGAACGATGGTGTCCTTTACACAGTAACGAATCGTCAAACGTTTCTTTTTCTTTTTTTTTTTTTTCGTTTTTTTTTTTTTTTTTTTGGTCCTACGATTAAATTAAGTATAACAAACGGTTTTCTCTCTTCGTCGTCCTTTCTTTTCTTTTTTTTTTTTTTCTTGTTTCCTCTCTTGATACTCCGTGTGTCGACGATTTAAATTCGCTATTTACACATTTATGCAACGTTCGGTTGCATACCAAACGAATAAAAAAGGAGCCTGTTACACGCGTAACACTACGACACTGTTCGACAATTATCTTCATTTTTGGTTTTTCTCTTTTTTTTTTTTCTTTTCTTTTTCTTTCTTTAAGACGAGAAACGTGTTCCTTAGACACTAGAGATTTTCATTTCGTTTTGATCTCCCATTCACTTACTGAACGTAAGAGATAGATAAGTAGATAGAGAGAAAGAGAAGTGAAATAGAGAGAGAGAGAGAGAGAGAGAGAGAGAGAGAGAGAGAGAGAAAATGTCGAGGCAGTGACGCGGCTATTTGGCAAGACTCTTTCACCTTGTCGTACGATTTATGTGGAGCAGGCTCCATTTATAATCACCGTGACCAAGGACGAAGCCGAGTTTTACCCTAGGCGCAGTAAAAAAATTAATGTTCACACGCAGTAAGTATACCTGGGCACTGGAACAGCCGTCGAAACGTTCTCGCGAATAACGATACACTGGTTCTAGTCAATATTGTTAAAAAAAAAAAAAAAGAAGGAAAAGTTTCGAGGCTTGTCGACTGAGATCATACCATATCGCTTCATCGGTTCGAGAGAGGAAGAAAAAAAAAAGAAAACGAAAAAAAAAACGAACGTACGTAAAAATCGTAAAGAATAGTCGTGAGAAATGTCGAGCACACGGTTTCTGCAAGATCCGACAAGAAAAGCTTGCTTAAGTCTCGCGCGAGTTCGTAGAAAAATATAAAAAAAAAAAGAAAAAAAAATAGAAGGTTCCACACGCGCATACAACGTGATTATAATTATGTACAACCAGCCACCGTACAACCGGGTGCATGCGAGCCGCGGTTCATCCTTGATCACAATGCTCGCATCGTCACGTTGATTCGATACAATATAATCTACATTTTTCTTTTTTCACTGACAATTCACCGTAATTTTCTTCGTTTTCTTCTTCTCCTTTTTTCTCTCTTTCCGTTGTTTCGTTTCTTTTTTCCCCTTTTGTACAATTTTCCTCCTCCCTCTTCCAGCCAATCCAACGGAGATTTCTCTGAGCGCAAGATACTTTCGTTTGTGCCGGCAAATTTTCGACCCTTCGACGATCCGATTCGGTTGATCAGTTTTCCGCTCTAACGCGGTGAGGTTATCACATTCACGGCAAGTGAATCCCTGGGCTCGTGTCGTGTTATCACGGACAACGTGAGCGAAAGCTCACGAGAACGTGATCGTGGAACAGAAGCATCATGGAAGATATAAACGCGGAGAAACGGTTAAGCATTAAACGGAGTCGACCGAAGCGAGTTTTGAGAACTTATATACGTATGACGCGAATAAATGTCTCTCAGTACTTTGACGGCGATACACCGAGTCACATTCGAGACCAAAGAATTTAACAATTTCGGTACTGGCGATTGGTACTCGAATTTGATTCGCGCGTGGGTCGTCTGTTAAATGCAGATGACGATAGATATATATGTATGTATATATATATATAAAGTCTTTATATATATATATATAAAGTCTTTCAACGAACGGTAAAAAAACTGTTTAAACGTTTGCTCGATGTGCAAAGAAGCTGGGTGTGCGAGTAAAATCTGCACATACGTTATACTGATCTCAATGATGCATTCTATGGACAAAGCATGACTCTCTGACAAACACACATCCAGATTCTTCGCGTCGATTGTTTACACTGGTGTATTGTTGTATGCATAGAAAATTGAACTTATATAAATGGCCTTGGTACGCAACCACGATTTGTCCTAACTCAGTGCACGAACACCATAGATACAATAATCGACCACAAAACATACATGCAAAGAAAGAGTAACGGCGTCCTTATTTCCCAGACAAATCTTGCATTTCCGTTCGATCGAACATATATGTCCGGCTTAAAACGAAACGGGTCGAAGAAGTCAACTTTTGTTTGCGTCATTCGGCAAACGCGTTGCATGTATGTTTACAGTTATCATTCACTGAAAATGTAAACCGTTTTCTTTCTTTTTTTTTTTTTTCTCTCTTCCGCCCTGTGAATTTCCTCAGCGAAATTCACATTGCACGAGTTAAACTGTAAAGCAGGAGATTTGAACGAAATTTCTGTCCAGAGACACTCATCAGCTCATGTAGGTTTCGCAATTCCAGCAATGTGGCAGAGGTGCGCGGATCACATAAAGAACTCCCTGGATCGGCTAATGTGCAGTCACGACGCAGGTCTGTCCAGTACTGAAATTTCTATTAGCCTAAGGCCGCGCATTACAGGATCCGTCAGTAACAGGCCACGCGGCTTGTAGACTCTGTCATTCTGTTCACTAACAAACTTCGCCACTTTTCGTAGACACTTCTCGTAATGAGTCTCTGTACATATGTAAATTAAATAACCAGTGAGGCAAGCGAGGCAGCCTTCGCAGTACGTGGAACAACTGGCTCGTTCGGCTTCTGCGAAGTAGTTGTTCAACTGAGTGATCGTGTACTCGAACGACTGTCTGTCCAGCTAAATTCAGAAACAAATACATATTCCATAAATGTGATGTAGATTGGTGTGTTAGTCAGAAGCAAATACATATTCCATAAATGTGATGTAGATTGGTTGTGTTAGTGCCTACTAACTCGCTCATGAAAACGTAAAATCACTGAGGGATATGTTTCCGTAACTGCTGCTAACCCTGACGTGAAATACTTGAAGATAAAAAGCATGAGAGATCAGTAGAATGACACTTACATTGTCAATGAGGCAAGTCTGAGATAACGTTTTCTTTTCAATTCAATAATGAAACGGAGATAACCAAGAATGTAACCTCGATACGTGGAAATGGAACTTTTTTTCAGGTACATACTCTGCTCTCCAGTTCCGTGGGAAATTGCGTCTGGAACTTAACCATAGTGCCTTCACTGTAGTCACGTTGTATAAAAACTTTCTGACAATTCGGCGGAGGCCCCCCACCTGCTTGCCCCCGGCCAGCTGACATGTCCTCCAGGGGTGTAAGGGCAGCGTGATTGCCCTGCAAGAATCAGATCCAATAAACATCTCGCCGCCAACCATTTTCATCGCTTTGAAAAATTACAATTCCTGCTTTCACACCGCTCGTTTTTTCGCCTCACCTTTTCCGCCACTGGCTCGCACGTCCAGCACATTTCTGTTTGCCTAACCATAAAAACCGCACCCAGCTACCTTCTCGTCGGCGATCGTTTCGTGATCAATTTCACGTCTGTCGGCGATCGACCAGTGACAACATCGCGCGACGTTCGATACTCGCAATGTAAATGGAACGCGAAAGAAAGTGGCGAGATAGACGTCTCGCGCGACGAACTGACCAACGGAAACACGGAAAGAAAGAAAGGGAGAGAAACGGAGGCGAAAGGTGGACGAACTTACCAATGGCATTTTGAGCTTCGTCTTGACGATTTGATGAGACTAGTCCGTCAAAAGTAACCTCGGCTGCTCGGTCGGAACGCAACGACGGATAGACGAAGACGACTGGTCACTGAACCACAAATCTCCCTTGGAAAGCCACGGAGGACAGCGCTTTGACTGACGGGGAGTGCGACACGACACCGCCGCCATGAAGCATGCGTGCGCAACGCGCGGCAAATTGAAACGTACGATTTACGCGCACTGGCTCGTTGCAATTGTTCCTTTGTTGCATAAATTACAAATCAAACGCAGTTTTACAGCATTTTTTTCATTTCTTAGTTTTCGTTTGTAATCTTTGATTATCATGTATAACCTTCGATTAGAATAGTATTATATTAATAATTATTGTGCCATTGTATTAACGATTTTAGTTATAGCACAGACGAGATATAAAGCACGCGAACCTTGCATTTATGCACTTTCTACTGTTTTACGTTTTAAGAATTTGCCTGCCTTACCATTTTCATGTCGCATGCGATGTTATCGATTCAGCATGGCAATGTTAGTACAATGCAGAGGGCACAAGACGTTGTTCTAAACTTGAACCACAGACGAGATACACCTTTGCAAGTGAAGTGATATTTCTCGCAAACTACATTGAATGCTGGAGTCATGGTTGTTTGTGAACGTAATCGGTAACGTCATCTTCGATATATCGACGTAAAAAATGTATGGTGTAAATAATTAAAATTAATTATTTTCTTTAATATGAATATAAAGAGATTAGTTCCACCATTTCGCCACAACGCAGCGCTAATGTTTGTTGTCCTGTAGCGACCTATAGTTCCTCGAGTACGAGTTTCGAACACCAACTTGCACAAGCCGCAAGTGGCTGTGCGCCTAGCGTCGAAGTCAACCGATATTCGATGTTAAGCAAACAGAGTGCGGAACCGCTAGGATGGGTGACCATCCAGCCTAGCGAATAGTTACAACAACAA